TATTTCCACAATGTCTCTAATTTTTACAATATTTCCCCTCGACATTTCCGACATTTCTGACATATGTCCTTTATTTTGGTAAGCGACATTTCCATCGACATCGACATTTTAAACCTTGTGTTAAGATCTAAGAAATGACCTAATAAAAAGAGGAAAAAGAAAACTTATGTTTTGCTAAAAAAGGAAGGGGTGGTGAGCCGATTGTAGGAATATAACATGGAGTTAACTGAATGCTCTAGTCACGTGTTAATAATGCAGGAGCCAAGTGGTAAGATATAGTATTTTCACCTCAAACATCTAGGAGGAAAATTAAGTGAGATGTCTAGAGCTGCTATTCTATGGTCAGTCTGGGAAGATACAAATTCCAAAATCTTCAATGGAGTGGAACAGACATCTGGAACCTTAGTGGAATATGGTGACTTTTTTTTCGGGGGGGGGGGGGTTGGGCCATTGGGTTTGCACGAGGGAAGAGTTCAGAATTTTAGCATGGAGGATATAGAGAGAAGATGTTCTACCTATCTTTCTCTTCTGCATCCAGATACACTGTTCTTATGTTTTTGTATACCCTCTATTGCTTGTTGGGTATTCTAGGACCTTCAAGGGTTAGAGGCGTATTCAAGAGCCATGGGATTTTTTGGGTTTATACCAATGACATTGTCTACGGTGATTCTGTTCAAGCTGAGTTGCTCCTCCTGAAGTCTTGCAATTGATGTACTTTGTTGGGCATTAGTGTTACAAAGTCAAGGTAGAGGGAGATTTACAGATGGTGATTCAGGTTCAGGGATAGCTTAAGGGCCTTAGTGCCATAGAGTATCCCTCAAATATAGTTAGAACCTCCTCTGGTGGCATCAATCTTGGACCAAATAATTAGAAGGTTCTGCCATGTTCAATTGGCCTTCTCTCTTGCATGAGGACGTGTCTTTATCCCTCTTGGTTCCAGTGAGGGAAAACTTCATAATTATGGCAGTTCTCCAGTGATGGACTTTCTGAAGAGGTTCTGTAGAACTTATCATTAAAATCGGATCTATTTATAGGACCTAATAAATGCATTTATTGGCTGTATATTTGCCATATTTTAGTAGAACTTGCTTCTTTCCCCTTCTTTTCTTGATTGGTACTTATCCTTGTATCAATCTTATAAAAAAATTCTTTCCCCATCTTTTGTTCAATAGTGTTTTGTAATTGAGAAAGGAGCTATTTCCTGTTTGTTTGCTTGCCATATTTCCATCTAATAATTGGATTTAATTTCATGTTCGATCCTTGATAATCTCCTTATTTTATCATTCTTGCATATTGAGCAATATGTTTTGTTGGGGGGAAGGGGATTGTCATGGCTGATTGATTTATACAATTGTTTGTTGAACCACAAGAATTTCCCTATATTTGTGGCAAAACAGCTTGCAGATATGAACTTGCAGGTGTTAATGTACTTGAGCGATTGCTAACGTGGTTCAACCTTGATATTTTTAATTCTTATTGAAAATTGTGGATTTCCTAATTATTTCTTCTGTGATATGATTTACAGGTTTTAGCTAGAGGTATTGAATGTGACATTGCTTTGCTTACTGTTGAGAGTGAGGAATTCTGGAGAGGATCTGAACCACTTCGTTTTGGGCGCTTACCACTTCTTCAGGTTTTGATCTTATCCTTTTGAAAGAAGTAATAGTTGCACACTTAAACTAGACACCAGGTAATATGACACATACCTATTTTGATATGTCCTCACAGCATTTGAAACACCAACTTCTGGAAATGCAAACACAGTCATTTGCCTATATTATTTCACTTTTATAATTAAAAGCCTGCTTGAACCATGGTTTACAATTTTGACATAATGTTTCACCATGCATAGATGGAGATATTTCAGAGGTATTTCATTAATTCTGCTAAGATATTTGGGAAATCTAAAAAATCAGTGAAACTTTCTAAAAACATGGAATTAGTTAATAAACCTTGAAGGAATCATTAGAAAAAGTACAAACAAAAGAAAAGCACTGTACATTTGCATTTGAAGGCTCAAAAAAAAAAAAAAAAGAAAAAGAAAAGCACTGTATAGATCAAACAAAAGAAGATAAGAGACTTAACTAGATATCTTCCCATCTCCCCCTTGTCAGTCTTTTATCTGTCCTCTCTACATTATGTGTGTCATTTTCTTTCCATTTTAACATTTTTCTTTTTTATAGTTGCACGTCTCTTTCTTTTTCTTTTTCTTTTGAATTATAGTGACTTAGTAAGTGAGTCATATCAAAATAGTATGTCAATTATGATGAATTCAACGAAGTATTAGAAGTTTCTAATAATATTCTAAAATTTTAAACCTTAAATGTAGTGTTTTAAGACTTGGACCAGATGGGATGGTCGGACCAGTCAACCCAGGAACCAGAATGGGTTCTGGTTGGGCACCATACTTTATTGCATTTGGTTGGTCTCTTTGTTTGTTGTCCTTGCTTTTTCTATGCCCTTTGCCCTTGACCTCTTCTTTGCTTACCTTGAATTTCAAGCTTTCAGTTATCAATCTTACCTGCCCTAGCCGAGCCTAAGTGGTCTATCAAACCCCCGGTTTTCATTTTTCTGAAAAACTGGTAGAACTGGTCAAGACCTAGTAGGACCATTGAAAACTGACTAGGTTTCAACAACCTAGCTGGTTTTCACGACCCACCTGGGTCACTAAAGTGTTACAAATTTTAAAATAGTGGTAAGTGTGAATAAACCCTAGTTGATTCTAGGTTAAAGCAGAGAAGAAGGAAGAAGAAAGAAAAGAGAAAGAAGGGGAAGAATGTTCGGCCAAACTAGAAGAGAGAAAAGTGAAAGTTACACTCTCCTAGCCGACCCACTTGACTTTTTATTCATAAAACTTAAGTTACAAGAAAGACAATGTTGTCCCTCATAGAAGATGTGACACATAACTTAAACTCAGATACAATAGACATTTCACTTTCAATAAGATACACCAGAATGACCAAAATACCCCTGACTCGAGCATTCTAACACTCCCCCTC